TAACATTTAGGCAAATTGGGTACAACCAAACACTTAGACACATAAATTGATGGTCGGGTAGATTCTGGGTGGATTTGGTTTGTGCATGCAAGTACATTCAGTGGCGTAAGAAGGTATCACTGGGAGTATCTGATAAATGCGAAAGCTAAATGGAAAAGATTTGGTGGTTGACGGGGGGAGGTCTTTGATGACTTAAGACATGGTGGAGAAAAGAGAGGTGGTAGAAAAATAATGTGCTTCAAGTTTTGAGAATTTCAAACAGTTCATTGGTGATTTGGGGATGAGATTGTTTTATTTTAAGGGATACCATTTCACTTGGGCAAACAACAGATGAGGTGAGGGATTGTGGAAGAAAGACTTGACTGATTGTCCGTTATCACGTGCATGGGACCGCAACCATCCAAACAATTTCATCTTTTCTCCAGGAACAAGAAAAACATGAAAAGAAAACGGGAAAAAACAGGAAAATAAAAAAAATGTATACATACAGAGAATTGCATGAGATTAAATTATATTGAGAGATGCAACATGTCAGAACAAAATATGATCATTCTTGCCAATTTTTTTAGGCTAAAAGTACAAGTGGAAGATTGAAAGTTGTGAAAGCAAAAATAGCAGTAATCCCAACAAATTCTCGAATAAGACAAATAAAATAAAACCATACCACATAAATTGACCTCACAAAGCTGCACACCCTTGAAAAAAATAAATAATACAAAGTCGATGCACCATTTACGCATCAAAATAGCCATCAAAAGCTATTTACACCTTCAACAAAGCTCGACTGTCTGAAGATAAATGGAAATCTTCTCATTCTACCAGGAAAAACAGAAACAATTCTGCATTGAAAGAGAAAAAAGCATCAAGATGAGCTAAAATCAGACAACAGAAGCTGATGTGTGGCTCAACTGCCGTGTGAGTGGAATTAATCGATAAACAAAAATGCTGGTAATGTTCGCAAATAGAAGCTCGGAACTGTTTTTAATTCTAAGTCAGGTAGCGAAGTTGAAAAGTAGTTCAATCATTAACAGTCAAATCACGAGCAAAATCAGAAATGCAAAGCAACTTGCTCTTCCCCCGCTTATCAATTTATGTGAAGCATAAAGAAAAGTAAAATTATGCATCTGCAAACACCAAAATAAACGTATCTGTTTTGATTCCTTCCCAAGCTAAAACATAAGGATTATTGTTTTTAGTGATAACTAGGAAATTGCACGTGTGACGCATGTGATTATTAATATTTTTTAGGATTTAAAAGTTATATTTTATTGAACTTATGCTTAAAATTTTAATTTTCCATTAGTTTATAATAGAGGAAACACATACACAATAAATTACATAAATATATTGGCACTGAAATCTAATTTTTATTGTTATTAATTAAAAGACATAGTTAGACAAAATAATAAATTAAATAAATAAATTTTTGTTAAAAATCCAAAATAGAAATCGATCAAATTTTTAGTGATGTCGATTACTAATGAATCTCATTTATCTGTTAATTAATATTGTCTAAAATCATGATCATCGTGGTGGTTATTTTTATTGATGTAATTTTTTATATGTATCTTTGTTGTCACTATTGTTTGTAGCGGTTAGATTTAATTATTAAATCAATGTTAATCAATGTCGTTTGAATGTTTTCTCTTACTCTTGTTTTTGATATACTTCTGTGAATGATTTAAAGCAAAAATAATGATGCATTATATGCAAATTTAAATTGTTTATTTTAAAATATTTTCATGAAGTAAGAAAAAAAAACATCTATTGACAGAATTTTTTTTAGTTCTAACTTATTAAGAAAAAAAAATTCCGAAAAACAATATATAAGTTCACCTTTAATAATATACATGGTAAATGTGCTATTATGCTAAAATATATTGAATGTATCTTAATTCAAAGCTAATTAACGTTGTTTGGATATTTAATCTTAAAATATCCTTTGATTATTGCATTGTTACAATGGGAAGGTATTTTTTTAACTGAATTTTAGTCGATAACATATAAAACTTAACTCCAAAGGTTTCAAGAGCTCAATCTTTCTTAATACGTACATACTTTATATTACTGATATATGTTATGATAAAAAGTATAAAAATTCATTTGAGAAATATTAGTGAACAATAACCTGATTGAAGAAGCTTAATATATATAATAAAATATAAACAACCAATGTTTTTATGGAACATTATTACATAATACATACAAACTACTCTTTTAATATGAAATTCAAGACTATCTTAAACATTAAAAAAAAAAAAAAAGTCAATGAATTATATATTAATGGCTCTTTTATGTAATATTTTATCTTGATAAAAAAATGTGCATTAGTCCAAACAATGACACTTAACTTTGGGTTTGATCTTATATGTGCTCATTGAAAGAGATGATGCACCTGGTTCATACAATATCTATTAATGTAGTATCTTAAGAACATGTTTGTTTACATAACCATTCATTCACATCCAATTCATACTCAAAACTAACTCAACTTTAACTCATCCCCACTATCCTCAATATTATCAATATAATTAAATAATATAAATCAGTCATTCTTACACAACATATCAACTTTAATTCATTATTAATCCACTCACATAATTTTGGCTAACTATCATTTCACATCACTTCTTTCCGACTTTTACATCAAATCAAGTTTAAACATTTTATGTTAAATATTATTTTAATATAAAATCAAAATCCCGGTAACAACTAATCATCCAACATTTTTAAAATTAACTCTAATTAATCGAAAAAACTCATTTTGATCGGATTTATTTGCAACCAAGCACACCCTAAGTTTTCTCAATTTCAATCATGTCCAGGTTCCCAATATTATAATATTGTTAATTTTTCTTTTTTTATTTTCTTTAAAAAATGTAAGGTATTACAATTTTTGAATGAATATTGAATGAGTAATGTTACAAATAAAACTGACTGATCATTAATGATGTAAAGTAAACATATTCATTATTTTCATTAAAATGATTCTAATGATAACTATTTTGTAAAATTAGACGTATATAATAAACTTTTTACTTTATTTTTTATAATAAATTTATTTGCACAAAATTTTTTAAAAACAAAAGATATAAATCTAGCACATATTAGTATGAAAACATATTATACTATGTGTATTATTGAAAGGTAAACTTACATTATATTACTCAAGAATCTTCTAAAATTTTAATTATCATAAAAAACTAAAAATAACGAAAATAACCTTATTAACCACAAAGAAGTATGTTATTAATTTATTACTTAATTGAATTGATATTATGAAATAAATTAGATAATATGATCAGCAATATTTTTTATAATTATTTAACAATTACACAAAACTATTTTTATTGTTGGATTATATATTCTTTTACTATATAAATAAATATTTCAGTAAAAAAATTATATTAGTTATATAGGAGGATTGTACTTTGGTTCAATCATTTTTAAACATACAATAATTGATATTACTATTTTTCAATTTAGTTTTACGAAGGAGAAGTAATACCATCATAAATATAAAAAGATAATATGATATTTGAAATCGAAATAAATATGATAAGAGTTCTCAAAGAAGAAGAAAAAAATTGTAATTTTATTCTCTTATATTAAAAGTTATATCAAATCTTACTTACCAAACTATTACCTAATGCAAATATTAAAATATTATATATATATATATATTGAAAAAATGTAGCTAAGAAAAAATTTAAACGTTTATTTGAAATTTTGTATCTAGTTTTTAAAAATAATATTTAAAATTACAATTGTTCGTTGATAATTAAAAAAATATAAGCTAAGTAATAAAGCGATAATAGAAATATATATATGGTCCAAAATTTTAAGGATCTCATTTAACATAAGAAAAAAAAAAATTAACCATGTATCAATCACATTAAGTTTCACTATATTTGTTTACTTTAATTTTTATATTTACTTAGTTAATTTTACGGTCTTTATATGCCAAAAAATTATTTATTGTATACATAAATATATATTAAAAGTTGAATAAGATCATAAATAAAACCAAGAAACAACTCTCACTTTTAAGAGATTATAGATACAGATTATTACAAAAAGGATCGATTACCCAACCTTAGGTTCTTTGGATTGTTGAGGGCGTGCACCATAGGATGGATGCTTTGGTGTGCCTGAAACATTAGTTGGCCCAGTATTCCTTTGTTCTCGAACCTTGTTAAAAATGTGAGTGAAATTTTCTGCTGCTTGAGGGTCACTTTCATCCCATTCACCAAATTTTGGGATGGCAGCACCTTTTTCAGGCTGCATGTTGCAATGACAATAACTCGATTAATTGTTAAGGTCAAATGAATCTGTAGTTTGCAGGAAATTATAGATGCTTCCAAACAATTCGTTTAAGCTGTAGAAGGTGGCAAGCGGTAAGAAATAAAGTGAGAAATTTGTACTACATTCCTTGGATGGTACATATTATGAAAAACGTTTTGAGGTGTTTGGAGGCGAAAAAAATGGAAGGAATGAAAAAAGTGATGGATCATATAAAATGCTGGCAATGGAAGTTTTCAAATTAAAAAAATACAGAAATTATCCCTGAGTTTCAACTAAACATAAAACAAACACTTGCAGTTCAATAGTTACAAAGAGGTTTGTGTTTCTTTACAAATAGATACTTTTTTTTTCTCTTTTGATAATGCACTTTTGCAAGGTAAATACGAACCTCAATTGAGAGTTTGTCATTATTAGGCTAAACGGTACGTAGGACCTCAGTAAATATTTCTTCAAAATATCACCCAAAACCTCTAAATATTAAATAATATCGTATAAGCTAAGAAAATTCTTTTCAGAACCTTACATTTTCTTTAGTAAAAATAATATAGAGAAAATAACTTGACTCTTTGTGGACCTCAAACGTTGTCAACAGCTAATGTTTGTATGCTTGCTTATCCAAACAACACTGTAAAGTAAAACTCGAAACTGACGAGTGAACAGAAGGGAAAAAGGCTGAAACTCACACTTTCATCCCCTCTAGAGGTTGGCTTCAGGCGAGATCGTCCAGGTGTACCATGACTACTATCATGGTTCTTTCCTTCCCAAGAAGGGGACCCACTCCCACTCACTCTCCCCGTCACTTTGGCCTGATAATGCGGGTGAAGTGGCGAACGCTCAAAGCCTTGCTCGGACCCTTCACTGCGCCTTGTAGGCCGGCCAGCCCTCTGAGCCCGCCCGCCATAGCTCGACTCGTTCGTGGACCTCTGGCCCATGTTCTCAACCCGAGCTGGGGAATTGGTGAACCGCTTCAGATCGTTGTCCTCTTTACTTGTTGTTCTGTGTTCAGGGCCTTCCGGCCCAATTGGCTCGTCCGATTTGGTTCTTGATTTGGAGGAAGGATCGTTGGTAGGGAACATGTCTGGATTTTCTTGGGGGTCGTTTGGATTTATGACTTTTCCACCACCTCGATTTTTTCTGGCCTTGTCGAAGTAGACTGTGTAAGGGACGTTGTCATCATTTTCCCAGTTGCCAAACTTTGGCACACTTGACCGCTGGTTTGAAAATAAGAGTGGTTATTGTAAGTGTTGTTATCATCCATAGTTCCAAGATGCAATAATCAAGAAACTATGCATGAAAAAGAGCAAGTCTTTATGTTCTCAGACTACAAACAATAAGCAATCTCAAGAATTATGATAAATAAAAATTAAAAAGGATGAATTGTTTATGTTATTACTTGATAGAGACTTAATCCGGAGGGCAATGTATAAAATCTTTGATACCGTCTACAAAGATATCAAACAGTAGCATGGATTTTTTGTTTATCGAGATACTGTGATCTGGAGAGCAGTGAAATAAAATCATCGACACAATCTATCCTGATACTAATTGCCAAACAGAAAAGAAAATTTTCACAGACAACTAAATTATTGGTCCCATGATTAAATTTTCACAAATTCATGTATGACACAGCATAACCATTGGGAGGGTCGACCCGTCACACGTTTGTAACAACTAACAAGGGAAAAGCTAGTTGTACAATCTTGGTTTACAACATTGGATGACAACATTATGTAGACGGTTGAGATGCAGAAATTAATGCAGATAAATATATAGTTAAGATTGACTCAATAAAACCTTTTTATGTGATTTCAAGTAAACTAATGTTGTCATCCAATGTTGTACATGTAGCATCACCCAAACTTGTTTGACACGGGAAAAGCTTCCAATATCTTTTGGGATTAGTCTAATCCAATTTCAAAGGAAGCATGAGTTTGATTACTCGCTTGATATATGAATGAAAATTTTACATACTTCTCATGGAGTCGAGAATTGGAACATAGTCTTATAAAAGTATCCTTAACTATGCAAGGGATCAAAAATAGTTGGCTGCTTATAATATCTTCAAACTCCAATATACTGGTAAAAGTTATAAACCTAAATCCCCGTTTGACTGTAATCACATCTCCCAGCACGACCTTACTAATCGGATACAACTACACGAGTATAAGTAAAGAAAACAATAACTAATGTTTTTCATGATTAGAAAGAGCTTCAGTTAACTTTCGAAATCACTAGTAGCATATATAATCCCTTGCAAACAACCAAGAGAAGTGAAATTTGTAATATGGAAACAAATGAAATGCTAAGAATACACATTTTATATCGGGAGTCCACTGTCCTCTTTTCCTTTCTTTCTGCTTTTGTTCTTTCTAATAAAGCTAAAACCTTGGGAAGGTTCTGCTTTTAGGTATCTACAAATGCAGTGATACAAAAGAAAAATAGACCAAACAATGCCATAATCATACTAGTAAAGCTAATCAAAAAGAGACCAACAGACCAGCTCGATAAACTACTCCACAAAATGTCGAGTACGACAACTACGAGAGTTACGACCTGTGCTATAAAAGCTCAGCCTTGTGGTTACACAACTTTTGAATGTGTTTTACAATCATAATCTCTTCACAATAAGCTAATTAATAAGTACTCAAAAGAAAACAAGGAAAATTATAAGAGATGTAATTCTTGAAGGGAAATTGTCAAACGGGGCAATACGAGTGCGGTCTCACACAAGTGAAGCGCAACATAAGAGGGTTAGCCCAAATGAAGCCCAAGTGAGGTTCCATCCCAAAACCAATTGGTAGTAGGAGGAGTAGCCCACTAGGCTTATAAGTTAGGCCTATTTACCCTATCAAATCAATGTGGGACAACTCACAAGTGACATTCCAACAGAAACGGTATAAAACGAACAAGGTATTTCCAAATTCCAAACACTAATTCCAAATAGAAACAGATAACAATAACAACTTAGCGAAGCACAGCTACACAAGAACATGACAGAATCACTTCAGAACAACAAATTTCAAACTCAAAAACAAAAACCCAGAACAAAGCTGCAATCTCTTTTGGCAAAACAGTAAACTTACAGCCATTTTTAGCTTAACCTCGACCTCGGAACACGAAACAAATTGAGAACTAAAATGAAATCTGGGATTCGGATCCAAAAGAACGAGCTTAAACTCAGAGCTCCCCACCAAGAAGATAGAAAATATCTTCCACAATTATTATTAATGAACACAAGTCGGAGAGAGAGAGATGGAAAATGGAAAGGAATTTATGATGAGCGAATTATTTGGGGGAAGTGTGAAGACAACACACGACCGTTGACCGGCGCCACCGGTTGTTGATTATTCGTCTTATTACAATTTTTCCCGTTGTTTTTTTCTGCCCTCTATACCAAGTCCTTGCTTGCTGGCCAGTGGCCTTCATAATTTATCATTTTTGCATCATATGTATACTCAAATGCAGAAAACGACCATATGAAAAACAATTGAGGTGATGTAATGTATGCACATTTTTTTATACACAAAGAATAAGGGCTACTTTTTTTTTTTTTCAAACGATAGGAATATATCATAATCAATAAACAAGTTTACAAGGTGAAAATCCGAGCCTACCAACGGGTAGAAGAACACTGGGAAACCCACTGAAAACAGTGGTTTACAAACACCCCACCCGAGGTATCAAGCAGGTACAAACACCCGACCCTTGATAACACCACTAAACCACCAACTCAAACCCCAGACTAACCCCTTAAACAAAACAGAAACCAACTACCAAACAATCAAACTGCAGCTCCAAACAACAACACAAGAAAAGAAATAAGAAAATACAGCAAGAAGAAAAAACATAACATCCAAGAAGAAAGCTAAAAACCAAGACATAAAGGACCAAACAAACAAACTAAAAACCAAGAAACAACAGACCCATTCAAGACACAACGCCAGGCTCTCTAAGCTGCTTCAGTGCACAGAATTCTTGCCACTCTCTGCTTGCTCGATTGATTATTACAGTTTCTGGCAGCCATTCCTTCTGAAAGATCCATAAATTTCTGGCTCGCCATAGCCACCATAATATGTAAGTAGATAATTGGATTCTAGCCTCAGAGACTTCATTCTTCCTAATGCCACAAATCTGCCACCACCACTCTTTAAAGTTGGAGTTCTGTAAGTCTTGACCATCCCAGGACAGTGGGGCAAGTTTCCATACCACTTTGGCTTTGCTGCAGTTAAGGAATATGTGATCAATGGTCTCAGGAGCTTCTCCACACACCTGGCAGATGATATCCACTGCCATTCCTTTTTTTATGGAGGTTTATGTTCACTGGTAAAATCCCACTAAAGCATTTCCATATAAAATGTCTGATTTTCCCTTTAACATTCAATTTCCAGCTTCTCTCTCTAATTTTTGGGTCAACCAGAGCTGCTTTGCTGCTCTCAGCTAAGTCCAGCTTCTTGATTTTATCAGAAATTAGTAGCTTATAAGAGTCAGCCACAGAAAACTTGCCTTTGTTGTTATAAGACCACTGCCATCTGTCTTCTTTCCCAGCCTCCATAGTTTTGATGTCTAGAATGGCTATGCTCTCTTGTTCAGAAAACCAGTACTTCACTTCTTCCACATCCCATCTACTACCATTATCCACCATTAAATCAGCAACCCAGGTTGGGGGGTTCCTTCTTGATTTTGTATTGTTGGTGGCTTGCCTCTTAAAGAAGGAATCCAACTGCCCTCTTGAATTTTTGTACTCTTTACATTCTTGATCTTTTCCAGCAGTTGTTTCTGAACATTGGAAGGACATGTAGCCAGTTGTTCCACATCTAGGAAGAGGAGACTTTCTTCTGAGCTTCAAAAATGGAGGTACTTGGGAAGTATTTGCTTTTTAAAATTCTGGAAACAAGAAGCTCTGGGTTAGCAGTAATTCTCCACAACTGTTTCAATATAAGTGCCTCATTAAAGAGTTTGATATCTTGGAAGCCCAGTCCTCCATGTTTTTTAGGAAGTGATAGAAGGTTCCAGCTTTTCCAGTGAATGCTCCTCTCTTTATCTCCCCCCTTGTTCCACCAAAAATGAGCTGTCAATCTGGCTATCTCCTGGCAAATTCCAGTAGTCAATTTAAAGCATGACATTGCAAACACCGGAAGAGCATTGATTACAGCTTTGATTAGAACTTCTTTTCCAGCAGTAGATAGAAACTTATTCTTCCAAGACATCAGTCTCTGCTTCACAGCTTCAATCACAAAGTCAAAAGAGTCTCTTTTTGATCTGCCTATCCCAAATGGTAGACCCAAATATCTAGAAGAATTGTGAGTTGTAAGACCATTGAGAACATTACAAATATTAGCCTTATCTGCCTCCTGGGAGTTTCTGCTGAAGAACACAGTAGATTTAGCTAAATTCACTTTTTGGCCTGAGAAGTTCTCATAGTCCTGAAGGATGTCCATTAATAACAGAGCTTGCCCCAAATCTGCTTTACAAAAGACTAAGAGGTCATCTGCAAACAGTAGATGGGTTAATAAAGGTCCTCCTCTGGAAATTCTTAACCCTCTAAACAAACCACCCTCAGCAGCAGTGGAGATCAGAGATGAGAGAGCCTCAGAAACAATTAAGAATAAGTAAGGTGACAAAGGGTCACCTTGTCTTATCCCTCTGGATGGTTTTACATACCCCACAGCCTCACCATTTAACATAAAAGAGAAGGAAACAGTTGAAACACAGACCATAATCCATTTAACAAATTGCTCAGCAAACCCCATCACTAGTACAAAAAATGCTTTCTAGATGTCACTTGTTATATCGGTTGTATTAAACCGATATAGAAAATAGTTTTTGTAATAAAGTTATAAATTTGTATATGGGTTTCTAGTAACTACACATAGAAACTCAAGGCCACACAAAATTAACATAGGGTCATAGTCCGCCCCATATAACAAGTAAACTATCTGTATGCAATTTTACTCAAACACATACATATAGACCAAATATCTATTTTTACAAAGTAATACAAGTTAGGGTAAACAAATTCGACAAAGTAAAAACTCTATTCACTCCCGCCTATCGTCACATTCTTCCCGCTTGCGTGGGATCTCTTCGGTCGTGAATTTCTGCCTCGATTGTATTTGAATTTGGCAAGATTTTTATGTTCAAACGGTGCTTCACCGTCCTCCGGTCACGTTGAGCTTCCGACGAGCTTTCCTCGGCAGTTATTCGAGCCGAGACGAGAGCCCTTTTTGGCGACCGTTTCAACAAAGACCTAACCTCCATCCTCGACCGGCGACCAGCCTTCACAGTACCCCTGGCCAAAACAGAACCCGCGGTTAGCGAGCGGGCCCTTTTTGGTTGCAATCGAGCAGAGACACAGCCAAGGGGCACCGGGCTTCAGTGAACCAAGCCTTCCTGAGAACCAGTCCAACGACCAGTGGCGAGAGCGAACTGTGGCTGAGGGTCGGCCCTTGCTGTGGCAGAGACGAGTGCAGCAGTTGAAACTCTCGACCAGACGAAAACGAGAGCCGAAGATTGTGACTGAGAGTCGGGGTCTTACACCGGGCTGAGACGCTACATCCGAGAACTGTCCGCTTGTCGCGACTGAACCGAGCCTTGTCTTGTGTTCGATTCATTCGTAAGAGGTATGTTTACATAAGCCCTTGTGCCATTTTGACCGAGTATGTGAAATCTATATGTGTAAGTTGTGCCTTGCTGTGTTTGAGATTTGCTGACATGCTTAATGTGGTCTATATGCTGCTGTGTAAGTTGTGCCTTCCTGTGTTTGAGATTTGTTGACATGCTGCTTTAAGTTCACCTGTGGCATTCTGCTCTGAAATTCCTGAAATTGGAAACCAGATAACTGCCTCGACCTAATTCCTTCAGCCACCTACCTATAGTATTTAAGCTATGTTGCCAAGTCAGGTTTATCTTCCCATGAGTTGATTTGTTCCATTATAACTTGCAGAACTGACTTACTTCTTTAATATTTTAATTAATTTGGTACATGAGTTTATCATTCAGTTACTCTCTGTTTTATTTTGTTTGAATTGGTTAAGTGTAAGTTTCAATGACTTTTCCCTTTTCTCCTCCAAGACACTTGCATATATTTTCTCCATTGAAAGAGACTTCAGTTATGTGCTCATTTTCCTACACACATTATATTGAGTGTTGCTAGCTAGACCATCGTTACTGGTAAACACAACCAAATGCCAATCCATACCAGTCTCCAATATTTTGACCAATTGTGTGCTTTTGTAAGCACAAAAGGAAAGAGGAACAGAATGTTGAGCCCCATGACGGCTATTATGTACCTGCAACCGAAAACTTTCGCGAGTAACAATTTGGAATTTTGTGTTTTTATGTTTTTTCCTGTTAAGAAATTGCAAACAATCACTCATGCATGTATTTTTGTAATCTACTCGGATAACTTTGTGTTCAACTTGAAATGGCCAACTAATCTCTTATGTGTGTATAACCATCATTGGCCATTTCACAACTTTGCAGAATTTTTTTTAATATGATGTAGTTTGAATGATATAGTTTGAATGATATAGTTTTGAGTATGTTTACATGACAGAGTATGTTTACATGAGATATGCTGTGTTTTGAATGATATAGTTTTGAGTATGTTTACAAAAGATATGTTTGTACTGACTAATGTATGTGGAAAGTTGTGGTGTGTGGGATTTTATAGATGTACTTTTGACTTTTGTTCATCTCTTTTGTAAGGAAGAAAGAAAGTAGATAGAGAAATATATTGATGAGGAAGTTATGTAAGTATAAAATATGTTTGAGTAGATTTTGTTTTGATAGAAAATTGGTGTAAATGACACTGTGAAATGAATTAATCCGCATTTCCCAACTTGTTTAATAAGATTTATCATAAAATTAATACTCAGAACTGAGAAACTGACAAATGAAAGTAAGTGGAATTATATGTTGAGTTTTTTAAGGGATATATTCAAT